TAGAAAGTGGTAGATCCAGAACCCAAAGTCCTCAAGCCATGTCTTCTAACAAGTCAGCTCTGTTTTCCATTATATTCTGTTGCCTTCTTTGAGCCATAATGATAATAGCTACCATTTATGGATTGTTTATGATATGCCTGTGTTTGAGTTAAGTGGTATCATCTAAGCCTCATAGTAGAAGTATCTCCATTTTGCCAACCAGGAAGCCAAGATTTAGACAAATACCTTTCCCAAGATCACTCAGCTTGGAAATAGCAAAGATGAAATTTGAACCCAGGTTTGGCTGTGTCTAAATCTGCTTATTCACTAAGCTTTGTTTTCCTAACGTCTTAACTCAAAAATTTTTTGAGCTCTTAGCACAAAATTTAGGATGCATCCTTATTACCTAGAGGGGCTTGTTAAAACAGAATTCTGGACCTTTTCCCCGGAGTTGCTACCTCAGTGGGCCTTGGTGAGGCTGGGAATTCCCATTTCTACCAGGTTCCCAGGTGGTGCGGATGATGCTCCTGGTTGGGAGAACACGTTTGGAGAACCCCCGCCCCCGCCACATTGCCCCTCCCCCACTAGGTGCACTGAATTACTGCCAGCAAAAATGTGTTTCATATGGAGGGGAAGGACTTCAATTATGCATTATTACATGGCCCATTTTAAATGGGGTGTATCCCATCCATTATTCTGTACAACTTTAAGGAGAAAATTATTATGGCCATAGAGTGGTTCCTGGTTTCTAGGTTAAATTCAGATCTTGTCATTTTATTGCATTTTTCTTTGCAGTCATTTATGAGAACTGTTCTAACTTCTGGGTCACTACCTATACAATGGGGAGCTTAATGCCCATCTGAAAAGGGTAACAAAACCATTTATTAATTAAAGCTGAAAGTTCTCTGAGAGAGTTGCCTGCCTTATCTACTTACCTTCTTGCTTAGGATATCATGTGTTAATTATCTCTTATTTTGAAGAAGTTTATGATTTTGATGTGATTTACGTTTCTAAACTTAATCGTGGAGAATGATTCCCTTTAAGAAGGCGCCCCCCTCACTTGACGTGTCTCCTCCCTATCTTTCTTCCCCCCATCTCTAACCACTGATAACCACTAACCTATTATCTATCCCTACAGTTGTTATTTTATGAATGCTATATAAATAAATAATGCAGTATATATTCTTTTGAGATTGGCTTTTTCACTTAGCATAATTTCCTTGAGGATGTTGTGTGTATCAAGAGTTCATTTCGTTTTATTGCTGAGTATTCGAGGCTATAGATATGCCACAGTTTGTTGAATCATTCACCTATTGAAGGACATTTGGATAGTTTCCCGTTTGGGGCTATTAAGGATAAAACTGCTGTGAACATTCATGGGCAGGTTTCTGCGTGAAAATAAGTTTTCATTTTCTCTGGGATAAATGCCCGAGAGTGCAATTGTTGGGTCATATGCTAATCCCATTTTTAGTTTTAGTAAAAGAAACTGCCACACTTTTTTCCAGTGTGACCGCACCGTTTTACCTTCATACCGGCAATATGTGAGGGTTCCGGTTTCTCTGCAGCCTCCTCAGCAGCTGTTCTCCTGAGGGTAGCCATCCTCGTGGGTGATTCGCATTTCCCTAATGGTTCATAATGTTGAGTATCTTTTTACATGCTTATTGGCACTTTGTGTATTTTCTTTGGAACATATCTAGTCCATCCTTGGCATGTTTTCAAACTGGATTATCTTTTGATTGTTGAATGTCAGAATTCTTTACATATTCTGGACAAAAGTCTCTTATCAGGTCGATGATTTGCAAATATTTTCTTTTTTTCTGTGGGTTGTCTTTTCACTTTCTTGATGGCAGCTGGGAGGAGAGGGAGCCCAGTCTTCTTGACTAAACTTGCCTAAGATGGAGCTTCTGGAAGGCGGAGCTGGGAGGGGTTGGTAATGGAGCAGGTCATGGCTCAAATGCCACAGACACTCACTGTTCTTGCCAAGATCTGGTAGGTTTTCTTGAACAAATGTTTTTCCATTTGTCATTATATCCTTAGGACAATTTCCAGAAACTTTTAATGAATGTTTTTATAATTTTTACCAGTTAAGTTGTTGTTTTGCTGGGAGAGTATCCACAGAGCTAGTGCCTCACTGTGCAAGGCCAGCCTTCTCGAATGAACTCTATGATGCACACACGCCCAGGAGATTTTACGCCCTCCGTTCTCATCTGCCTTTCTGAATTATCAGATGATTCTCTGGTAGGTCTAGCAACTAGAGTAAGATCTTCTCCGCACAACTCTGCAGGACTAGAACAGGGCCCGGAACGTTGTGCTTCTTGAGAGAATGACTGCAAAAAAAAATGAATGAGTTTAAGCATCTAGAAGGAGATAGATGTGGGATGTGTGAGCACATCCAAATGGAGAGGGGGGTCCATAGAAGGGCTGAGTGGAAGGGTACCAAACACATATGTGGCCCACCTAAAACGACTGACCCCTTGCAGATTCATGGGCTGAGCATGGTTAGAAATCTGAAAATCATTGTTTTAAGTTTTATGTGTACATGTCCTGTATGTGTCTTTATGTGGTTCTAGGGATACACAAACGTCAAACATACATTGTACACACATGAGCAGATACCTATGTGTACGTACAGATACACATACACTTATTTGTACAAGGGTTATGGAAACCTTTGGAGCAGTGAGATATTCTGAAAGGACATTCTGTCTTACCTAAAAGTAACATAAAGAATAACAGGACATTCAAACAATCTCTTGTCATTTTGCTGATGAGGAAACTGAGTCCCAGAGAGCTCATGTGTTTCATTCATAATGTCACAGCTACCTAGGGGCAAGAATGTTCATCCCATATCTCCTGTTACCTGTTGTGTGAATGAACACAAGCTTCAATCGTGTAAGTTTTATCCCCAGCATAAGCAAATCCTGCTTCTCTACCACCACTTAAAAATCAACATCCTAGAATAACTGTCATTTGAATTTTTGCTGTAAGTTTTCTGCCTTCCCTCTACCTCCACTCCTTCCCTAAAGTAAATTCTGCAACTGGCAACTTTGAAACTTGTTACCATCCAGAACATTAATAGGGTTTTACATTTTTAGCAGCCTAATGATGAGGATGTAGGACCTTCTGTGCTAGTCCCTCAGGGGTTTCTATTCTGGGCGTTTATTAAACTTTGCTGTAGTCTGAAGCATGTTTGACCTTTTTATATTAAAAACAATTTGAGTTTAAAGTTTATATGTATATTTATGTGTGTGTGTGTGTCTATACATATTCCCCTCTTCATTCATTAGGTAGAGATCCCAACATTTTTAACAGTTGAATTTGAAGATACTTATCAATTATTTCCCTATGTTTGGTGAGCAAAGAAGAAGCCATTACCATCATGATTTAATATTTCTTATTTAGCCAAATTTGAGCCCTCTTGAAAATCTTTTCTACTTTCAAGTCTATTTTGCAGTTTAATTAATGCAGCAAGGGTTTTTATTTTACTCTCAATGGAGATAATCTTAATCCATTCACGGTGACCTTTTCTTGTGCAAATTAGTTGTACAAGCTTGTTTAAGCAAATGGTCCTTTGCATGATGTCTCTTCTTAATGACGGGTTTATAATTGAAAATTGGCTTACTCCCATATGCCTAGTTTGTATGAGAATATAAAAATAGATGTGGACTTTAAAAATATAAATGTATATATCAGTATCCCAAAACGAGGAGGGAAGAATCTGATGCCTTGAGGCTATGACTAAATTAGACTATTAGAGTCAGAAAATGCTGGCGACGTATGCCACGGTCAAAGTCACACCTGTCTGCCGAGCACTGGAAGCTCTTGAAAAATGAGAGTGATTTCATCTTAGCTCTCAGAATCCACGCTTTCATAGGACAGGAGCCATTTCTGGCTTCCCAAGTTTGCTTAAACTCATAATGAACCTGAAACTCTGTGTTTAGGACTGTGTTTGTGGGTCTCACGTTTAAAGTGATAGCCCTCAACAAAATGAAATGCTCCTTGCTTTTCCTGCACTTCACCAGCAGAAAGAGACAGCTGACGCTCGTGTTATATTTTGCCTTTTTTCAAGTGCAAAAACCGTGTGATACCGCCAAGTGGTCTTTGAGTAAAAGCCACAATCCTCTCTTCTGCCCCCTGGTTCTCTGCACCCCGGTTTTCTGCACCCCCCTGCTCTGTTTTTTTTTTTTCTCTTGTTATTCTTATTTCCCCATTTCTTAGGCCAGCTCCTTCCATCTCCCTTGTCTTTCCCCTGTAAGTCGTGTCAACCATTCTTATAACAGGAGTATTTGGCGTAGCTGAATATTCTTGGTTAAATGTAGAAACTCCAGCGTGAAGGAGAAAGTGAATGTTGTTGTGTGCTTGTAATGGAGGTTTCCTGAGTAGGTTTTTTTTTTTTTTTTTAAGATTTTATTTATTTATTTGAGACAGAGAGAATGAGAGAGAGCACATGACAGGGGGGAGGGTCAGAGGGAGAAGCAGACCCCCTGCTGAGCAAGGAGCCCGATGCGGGACTCGATCCCAGAACTCCAGGATCATGACCTGAGCCGAAGGCAGTCGCTTAACCAACTGAGCCACCCAGGCGCCCTCCTGAGTAGGTTTTAATAGCACGGGGTGGGGAACAAGGACAGTCTTAGTTTTGCTGAATAACATGGCATCAAGAGTGACGCGTTGTGGTGTTTTGTTTTTGTTTTTTTTTTTTAAGCTTATAGGAACAAGACATTTCATCAAGACACAAAACTCTGATTTTTGGAAGCCAAACCTAGGCAAGCCAAATTGTTCCTGGGACCATCAGACTTGTCTCTTATGTACCCCTAATTGCTTTGTCCCCCATGAAACTTCACATGTGCTCTCCCTCGTGCAACACCCCCACCTCCACAAAGGGGACCTGAGAACTGCCCGCCAGCCAGTGTATTTCCTGAGTTGCTCTGGGTAATTTCTTGCAGGTGTGCACCCACAGATGTTCATTCATCCCCCACTCCTAACGGGTCTTCGTTTGCTGATTGCTCCTCCTCTCCTTGTAGGTATGATTATCGGGAAATGCTGCACAATGCCACTTTCTGTCTGGTTCCTCGTGGTCGCAGGCTTGGGTCCTTCAGGTTCCTGGAGGCTCTGCAGGTAAGAGACTCTGAACCCTCCCCAGACTAGGGCTGAGGACTGAAGTCAGATGGGGTGGGTTTCCCCTTAGCCCTTCTGCTGGGATCGAAACAGAATGCACAGTTTGCCTTGAACACCTGAAGTCTGTTTTCCCAAGAAAGTCTGCAACACTTTGTATAAGGGGGGTGGGGGGAAGAGGATTTACTCCCTGTCTTCGGACATGGGAAGATTAAATGGTTCACCACCAGGGAGGATAGGTTCTTTGGGGACACGTTTGCAAACGGAGGGTAGATCTGACTGCCCAACAGCGGCCTCATTGGGCAACCTGCAGACACACTGCCCTGCCTGGAAGCCAGTCTCAAGAGCACTGACTTCAGACAATGGCTTCTTGGTGGTGCTTCCCAAAAGCAAATTGTCTTTTCTGCCCACCCCACTCTGTCGTCTCTTGGTGCCTCTAAATTCTGAGAGTGATGCCCAGGGGGTCGTGCTCCTCACTTTGGCCCACCTATCCCCAGGCTCCGCAGCTCTGGGGCCTGTGGGGGTGGGGGGGATCTGCTCATTAGCCTCACTCTGCAGAAAGACCTGCTGAGACACCTGTGCTCATTTCCTGCACCTGGGAGTTGCACTCAGCCTTCCGTGATCTTGAGAAAGCATACTCTCAGCCAAGACTCTCTCCTCCTCCACTCCTTGCTTCCTGGCTTCTCTGTTCTTTCCCCCTCTATGTTCTGCACCTTGCCAGAGTCTGCTTTTGTGTGCAGTGCTTCCTAACATACATCCTTCTGTTGTGTCCTCCAACCGAAGAGCTTGCTCCTGGCCCTTTCCAGTGTGTTCTGTGGAGCATAACCCTAACACTAATGTTCTCGTCGCCTCTGTGGGATGTCGCATGAAGCAAGTAGTTTTCCACTTTGGATTAGGAGTTATTCGCCTTAACCTGGCGTTCCCTGGCTGACAGATCTCTGTGCAAGCAGGACGTTGGTACGACAAGTGGTTTGGATCCGTCCACAGTGAGCGGAACGAGGTTCTGGCTCCGATGTTTACACCGCAGGGGAAAGGGGAGCAGCCGGTAGTAGTTCAGTCCACAGCATGCTTCATCAGGAGGGCCAACCCCCATTCTACCCCTTTTGCTCCTCACGGTGGGGTCAGCCACCCCACAAGCAGACGTGTGGCAGTTACCCTGACAAAACCGTTTATACTCAAGGTTGGTTTTAGGCTGGGATGCTGTTGGTGGACGATTTTTGTTACCTCAGTAAAACTTCTTGGATGAGGCCAGTTGTCGCCATGGCGATAAGGTTAGCCGAACCACGCACTAGAATAGAAATGGGGTTTTAGCCTTTGGGGGCAAGGCCTGCCCACGTCAAAATCTCGGCTCGATCTGTATAGCCTTCCCGCGACTCGGTAACTCATGCGAGCTTACTCTTCTTCTGGCCCAAGCGGCCCAGGATCCATGCAGCGATCCGAGTAAGAAACGCCAGTAGTTGGGCTTGTCCTGCTGTCACCTCCCATTGGAAAGGCTCCCCCTGCCGCTGCCCTTACATTCACGAAGCCCCCTTCTTCACCCAGGCTGCCTGTATCCCTGTGATGCTCAGCAACGGATGGGAGTTGCCGTTCTCTGAAGTGATCAGTTGGAACCAAGCCGCCGTCATAGGCGATGAGAGATTGTTATTACAGGTAAGGAAGGGGCGCTGGCCTTCAGCACATCAGTGGATTATTGCTGCCCCTGTCTAAACTTTCAAAGAAGATGAATCCAAAAGGTCAGCTCTGTAAAAGAAATTTTATCAGGAGAAAATCTCCTGTGTCATGGCGAATATGAAGTCGTTTAATATGACATTGTTCACTTTCCCACACAAAACCCACCCCGCTGCAGGGAAGGTATTTGGCAAAGGAGGTGTGGCAGGTAAAGGATATGAACTTTAATGGTCAGAAGAGGTGTGTGTCCATCCTCTTCCATATCCAGAATTTTTAGAAATTGTACCAGAGAGTTTTTGTACCATCCTGCCACTTCATATTCCTTTCCCCTATTTCTGTAATGGCCCTCAGATTAATTTTCGGAAAGAGGGAAGTCTCTAGGGTTGATTCTTATAATTAGTGTTATCATTGCTCAAATGATCCAGTCTGGGAGCCTGAGCAGTGTTATCTTTAACATGTATATTTAAAAGAGCAGCCTCTAATAAAAAAATGATTTTTTAAATGTATTTTTTGCCACTTGGATCTCTTTATTTTATTTTATTGTATCAAGAACATTTAGCATGGGATTTACCTTCTTATTTTTAAATGCAGGATTATTGTTGACTGTGGGTTCAATGTATTAGACATCTCTGGAGCTTATTCATCTTATTCAACTAAACTTTGTGCCCCCTGATTTAGTAACTCCCCATTTCTTCCTCACCCCCAACCCTGGCAACTCTCATTCTACTCTGTAATTCTGTGAATTTGACTATTTTAGATAGATACCTCATGTATGTGGAATCATGTAGTATTTGTCTTTCCGTGACTGGTTTATGTCCCTTAGCCTAATGTCCTCAAGGGTTCATCCATGTAGTCCTATATTGTAGAAGTCAGACTTAATATGATTAAAATGACCATATTACCCTAATTGATCCACAGATTCAATGCACTCCCTATTAAAATCCTAATGGCGTTTTTTACAGAAAATGAAAAATAATTCTAAAATTCCTATAGAACCATAAAAGACCCCAAATAGCCGAATCAGTCTTGAAAAAGAACAAAGCTGGAGGCATTATATTTCCTGATTTCAGAATATATCACAAAGCTGCAGTCATCAAAATGATATTGTACTGCCGTAGAGAAAGACAGATAGACCAATAGAACAAAATAGAAAGACCAGAAATAAATCTACCCATATACAGTCAACTAATCTTCAACAAGGATGCCTAAGAAAAGTTTGAACTTCTCACGAGCTGTCTAGGGAGAGGAATATGATACTCACAGAGAAATCTAAGGGCAGCAGTTGTCAGTACTAAGGATTTCCTTTTTCTTTTCCTTTTTTTCTTTTAGAGAGAGCGTGCGCAGGAGGGCCAGGTGGGGCAGGGAGCAGAGGGAGAGGGAGAGAGAGTCTCTTCAACAGGCTCCACACCCAGGGCAGAGCCTGATGCAGGGTTTGAGCTCACAACCCTGAGATTATGAACTGAGTCTAAATCAAGAATTGGACATTTAACCAACTGAGCAACCCAGGCGCCCCCACTAAGGATTTCTGAAGCCCTTTTGTGCAATAATGTTTTAGGTTCCACATAAATTGCCATACCCCCTTCTCTAAAATTACAGAGTATTTTAATGTTTTTCATTGATGGCATATATACTTGAACTACCACAAATATTGTAGAATGGTTTTTAATGTCCTAGCTTTTTTTCCTTTTTTCTTTTTTTAATATCAAGAAAATTGAGTTTCTAACTCTGTTGTTGATTCTGCTTCTGCTGCCGGCCAGTCTGCTAGCTGGCTGATGAAGTAGCCCAGTTCTCTTCCTAGAGTAACAGTGAGAGATCTGTACCCACGGGGCTGTGAATTAGGCAAGCCAGGCTGAACACAGCCCCCAGAACATTCCTTCCCTCTGGTACTCAGGTATGTGATCTCCGTGGCCCCTGGGACCTCCAAAACGAAAGAGGAGTACGTGACCTAGCAAAATCCTCCCCGGCCCGAATGGTGTATGTGGGAAACATTGACTCATGAAAGGCCAGACAAAAGTGATATGTGTAGTTCTTTCCCATGTTGCCTTTCTCCTTCCTTTTATGATTTTTTTTTAAAGAATGCATCCTCATCAAAGGAAACTTGGGACATAAAAGGAATAAAAAAACATCAGCCATAATCTCTCCAGTTATACACCAACGCGCCCTGTGAGTTTGACGTGGGTAACTTGGGAGTTTGTCTCGGAGAGGAGAGCACTCCAGGAAACTGAATTGTGGTTGTCCACTTTCTACCATTTCACCAAAGCTGGTGTGGATTTCACCTTCTGAAGCAGTTGTTTTGGCCTTGCCTCTGAAGATTTTGTTTTCCGTCCTGCCCCCGCCCAAACTTGCTGGTGTTTCCCCCTCTCGTTCGCAGTCTGTCTTTGCCCAGCTGCCTCCATATTGAACAGCGACTGTGCTGTCATTGACAGTCGTGGTGAAGAGCTGGTGCCGAGGGGCGCCTGGGTGGCTCAGTCGTTAAGCGTCTGCCTTCGGCTCAGGTCGTGATCCCAGGGTCCTGGAATCGAGCCCTGCATCGGGCTCCCTGCTCAGTGGGAAGTCTGCTTCTCCCTCTCCCTCTGCTCGTGCTCTCTCTCTCTCTCAAATAAATAAACCTTTAAAAAAAAAGAGCTGGTGCCGAGCCCAAATGTCTGCTCCGGGAGATGTTGTTGTTATGTTACAACTTTCTGTTTCCTGTTTTAGAACAGCTCCGATGTTTTTATTTGCATATATTCTTGTCATTATGTCACCAAGAGAGCTGAATGTTGCTTTCCTGTATCTATTTTGGTAGATTCCATTAGTTTTGTTACCATCCATGACCTTTTATTAAGACTTCGCTGAGTTCTGCAACGCTGAACAATCCGACCAAATTGGAATTAATTTATCACTCTCGCGTACCTGTCTCTCAGGACAAGCAGACTAATAACCAATAGCCAAATGCCATGAAAAGCTGGAACTCTTGTCTTTTCGGGCAGTTGGAATTCTCTTCCAGAGCACTTTGCAAAGAGCTATCATTTATATTGTACGTACAAACGGGCAGCATATGGTTCACTTGACGTCATAACATCAAATTGTGGCTTTATAAAAAGGGGAATATATTGGTAGGTTAATGTGTGATATTCCCTCTGGACGCCTGGGTGGCTTAGTCAGGTGGGCGTCCGACTCTTGGTTTCAGCTCAGGTCATGCTCAGCGTGAAGTCTGCTTGAGATTCTCTTCTCCCTCTGCCCCTTCCCCCCCATGTGCTCTCTCTCTGTCTCTCTCTCTTTCTCTCTCTAGAATAAATAAAATCTTTAAAAAAAATACATGATACTCCCTTTACTCATTCATAACCATAGCCTACCTAGTTTTCTGGAGACTATGTAGTCACAGTAGCTTTTGGCATTTTTCTAATGGACTGGTTTCTTGTGATCATGACAAAATAATGAAGTCAACCTATATGACTCTTCGAAGAGGCCACTGACATTTAGAAGAAGGTGTGATTATGAAAATTGAGCAGAGTAACTTTTTTCTAGTCTTTTTTGGCAACCTAGGTAATTTTCTGAGTAAATAAAAATAAATTGTCCTTGACTTATCAAGGATCCATAACATTGATGGTTTCTCTACCTTCTCCAAGGATATTTTACTTCCACTTGACCTTGAGTTCTAATTGCGGGCTAACATTTGCCTGACAGTGCTGCTCCTTTACCCGTGGCCTCCATGCTTCTTCAGCTTTGGGCATCCAGATACACACTCTGGGCCACAGATTTAGGATCTGCTTTGGCAAGTGAGCTTGTCCTTTTGTTCTTACTGTAAAGCTATTTCATTGCTCCTCTGTGGAATAGTCTTGAGTCAAAAAAATTTGCTACCGCCTCCTTCCCCTCCATGAAATTCAGATATAGCCTTAGTCACAATGCCATAAGTAACTTTCTTATTAAAGCAGCTAACAGAGCATTCCTGCTCCAGCCCAGGCCCCCATGTCTTTCTGATTAGTTACATGTTAGCGAAGCAAGCATGCAGAAAGAGGTGAGCACAAGAGGGCAGTTGCTAATCACAAGGAATCTCCTCTAAGAGTATAGACTCCATAAATGAAATAGACCTTGAACTATAAGTGAAGATAGGGAGCAAGCCCAGCAAACCTACCAGAAACCCAAGAAGTACGTGTCAGAGCTCCAGATCCAAACAAGTTCACATACAGACATTAAGCAATTGGTCCAACGTTGAATATCAACACCTTTATGTCAATAATAATAATAGTGGTAGTAATAATTTGCTGTGTTAATTAAGCTTCCCATGTTCTAGGCACTGTGCTAAGCACTTATATGATCTCCGTTACAACCTTCTGATGTTACTACTGTATCCCCATGTTATAAATGAAGAGATGGAATCTTTGAGAGATCAAATAATTTGTCCAAGAAAGCATGGCTAGTAAATGGTAGAACCAAGAATTCCCACCTTGGTCTAATTTCTGTGTCCCCGTGTTTAACCATTAAATCTATATTGCTGGTAAAAATAATGATATCCCTATGGTGGGTTCAACTGGCCATGTTCAATTCAACTCATATTTCTTGAATAACTACTATATAAAAGCCATTCTTATAGCCATAAACTGTGTAGCAGGATGGACAGGACTTAGCTCTTTCCTTTAAAATCATGTAGCCTGGTAGAGAACGGTGATGACTGGACATGTATGATGTTTGACACATCGTGGTAGGTTGGGGTAAGTGCTCAAGCCAAAAAGAGAGGCCGGGGAGCAGAAGAGTCCTTGGGGTAAGGTCACAGGTGTGTGCACATAGAAGTGGAGAGGCTCAGAGACATTCCTTTAGAAGCCCCTTTGTAGATCATTTGGAGTCCCTGGCATGGGCATGTCTTGGAAGTGTTTGGGGGATAATGTCTTTCAGCCTCTCCCCAAAGCTGATAGCTCCCTTCTGTGTAGAATGTGGTTTTCCATGTGTTAAGACTGAGGATTTGTGAGACCCTAAGCAACTGATAAGCTGTTACCAAATCTTAGAGGGGACTTTAATTTCCATGCATTAAAGGTTGTTAAAGCTGATCCCCAGTAAGTACTGTTTGTACCTGATGCCTGTTAAGGACATTTCAACTTAGGGGTTGGTGATTTTTAGCCGATCTGTACACTAACACCTGAATACTAAGAAGTATAAAAGCCTAACCCAGGTCGGTTATTTCGATCAAATGGCATCTCATTGTTTGAGAGTTATAGTTATTATGTGTTCACCTTGTGTTACAGATCCCTTCTACAATCAGGTCTATTCATCAGGATAAAATCCTAGCACTTAGACAGCAGACACAATTCTTGTGGGAGGCTTATTTTTCTTCAGTTGAGAAGATTGTATTAACTACACTAGAGGTAAGTGAGACCCCTTGGCTCTTGGTCTTGAATAATGGTCCTTTATACACTTCTGTTGGCCTTCTCTTTTGTTACTTGTGAGGTGTAATTGGTCAAATGGGACAAAACTGAATTTTTTGTACTGGGATATGTCAATTAACCCTCTTTTACCTGCTCTGCCATGCCCAAGCAAATCCCTCCGTTCCTCCCATAACTCCACAGAGGAAAACTGACAGGAGGAGGAATGACCCTTCTTGGCACAGGGATCGGCTCTGTCTTCCATCATTTCAGCAATATGTGGTTAATGACTGTCCTCCCATCCTTCACACTCAGTGGCATCCTTTGAAGACTTGTTTCTGGAGCCCAGTTAGAGATCAGATAGTGACCAAGTAGGGGAAATCTTCTACAGAACATTCTAGAAATGTTAACAGTTTACTGGGCGCCAGTGGCATTGGTTCTCAAGACGTGCATCCCAACCAGCATCAGTGTTGCAAGGATGTTTTAAGAAGAAAACCGGGATTACACTTATCTGGTGCAGAAAATCTCCTAGGCATATGGGTGCCCCTTGTAAGTTGCTTTTTTTTTTTTTTTTTTTTTTAAGGCAGTAAGGAAAAAGGAGAGGGAAGCATGGAGATGATTAAAACCTTTGGAAGTAGAACAGATAGTGATGTCCTGAGGCTACACCACAATAGCACAAAGAGCTAAGAAAAGAGTTAGAAAAGGGCACACTCATGAATTACAGACCTGCAGGAAGGAGAGCAGAGGTCCTCTGATGAGGCACACCATTGAGGTGATTCTGAGGTGTTCACATAATGCCACGGGGGCATCTGTGGCCTCACTTTGGAGTATTTGCTTTGGAAAAGTGTTTATTGCTCCGAAAGCTAATGTAATTTGCAGCATACACTGAGGAGTCTGAGTAATACCAAGAAAACTGAAAATCACCCTGTTTTGTCCACACTGCTGTTCTCTTGCCATCCTGGGTATCAGAGCCTGTGCTGGCCATGCCCTGGGCACAGTGGGGCATTTCCCTACCCCAAGCCAAGCCTGGGCTCCTGCTCTGGTCAGAGTATCTTCTCAGGAATGGTGCACATTTTTTTTTTTTTTTCATCCTGGAACTAGGTGAAAGGGGCTCTTTAGGAGCCAGGCTCACCCCATGAAGGGGACAAGGTCAGAATGGCCTCCAGGGGCTTCCTTCTTGCAAGCAAACCTCTTGTTCCTTAAAATTGATTGCATTTGTTCATCTGTTCATAGCAGCAGGTTTGAATATGTAATAGATTTTACTCTTCTATCCTGTTTTCCATCCAAGACCTTTCCTAGGCCCTTCATAAGGAAAGTTGAATGTCAATTTTTTTTTCTTTGTGGAATGAGTGCTTTTTATGAAGAGTACATGTTCATTTTAGAAAATAATGGAAGATACTTAAAGCATAAAAATAAAATAATCTACCCATACAAAATCACTGTTGACATATATATATATACACACACAAACATATATATTCGTTTTTTCTAGGCAAATTTATACACATGTTGTAATTTTTAAGGAGTCTTTCAGGAGTGTCTAGCTGGCTGGGTCAGCAGAGCCTGCGACTCTTAAGCTCAGGGTTGTAAGTTCAAGCCCCACGTTGGGTGTGGAGCCTGCTTAAAAATAAATGAATCAATAAAGAGGAGTCTTTCTAAACTTAGTTTATGTTTTTTTCTCCTTTTAATAATGTATTGTTAACATTTTCTCATGCTGTTGGATTTTTCTGCAATTATTTTAATGACTATATAATATTCCATTCATGATATCACTTAATTTCTTTCATTATCCTCAGTTTGAAGATATTGCCATTGTTTCTGCTTTTTCATTATTAGACACATTGTTGAAGCAGATAGCCTCAGCACTAAATTGTTCTGCGGGTTCAAGATTACTTCCTTAGGATTAATTCCTTGAATACAAAGTCCTGGTTTAAAGAATATGACATATGCTAAGATTTCTAATAAATTGTCAATTTTCCTGCAATAGAATGAAATTAATTTATATTCCCTCCAACTTATATGAGAGGACCTGTTTTTATTATTTCTGGTATTTTTCACTTCCACCAATACTGGACATTATATCTTTCAAAATGATAAATCATTATTTTCTTAATTTATATTTCTTGGGATAATAGTAAGAATGATTTTTTTCATATTTCTTAGGCAACTCACAAAGAAAGAAATAGAAATGGCCACAGCATTGTCCCGTAGTGACATAATTTTTTAAGAGCTCATAAATTTTTCTCATAAATTTTTAAGAGCTTATTATATTAAAAATATTAACCCTTTGACTCTTTTGTTGCAAATATTTCCCCCAACTTGTGGCATCCCTTTCTCTTTTGTTTATAAGGAGGCAATCTTTTCTTCTGTGGCTTTTCCATTTGCTACTGTTCAGAAAGGACCTTTTGACACATAATTTATATACACACACTCCCTTATATTTTTCTAGTACTTCCGCGGTTAACTTTTTACATTTAGCTATTTAATCCAATTTACTTTTATACATATGATCTGTACTGAAAAGTCTATTTCTTTTTCTTCTTTGACAGATTGTTAGGTAGTTTGTCCCAATATACGAAGTTGTCTTGCCTCAATATTGTCACATGCCACGTTTATGCACCTCTGGGTCTGCTTCTGGCCTTTTGATTCTGCCCTGTTGTCCACTCTAAAACACAAAGGCCACATATTTTCATTTTTCCTACCTTTTGCCCTCCTTTGGTGGACCTCCATTTATTTAACTAATCTACTGTTGGCTATTAATGTTGTTTCTAGTTGTTTGTTTTGTAGAGATCTAGATATAGATGTCTTTAATCCAAGCAATGCGTTTCTTCATGTATCTTAGGCTATATTTCTATTTTTCTGGGATGGAGTCCTTAAAGTGGGATTATTACTAAGCCAGAGTCTAGGTTCATGATCTGCATGCCAAATTACTCTTTAAGAGGATGCATCATTCTGGACTCTCATAAGCCCTCTGCGGGGAGACCTTCTCTAGCGGCCCTCTTGTTAGCCTTAAGGATCATAATTAAAACACACACACACACATACACACACACACACGACTGTGCAGATTTGCCAGATGAAAGATGGCATCTCCTTAATTACATTTCTTTTGAGTATGGTTTATTGCATAGAGCTGATCTCTTGCCTATTCAGTTAGCAGTGCTCAATTATCCTGTAAGAACAGTTGGATGTGTTAGATTCATCAGAATAGAATCTCAAGTCAAGCTGTTGTCATCTCTGTGCTAGAAAGGCCTTCCGCTTGGATTTAAGCCATGCAGTTCTTCAGCGACAAAGTTGTTTTGAAAACACTATGAACCATGTACTTCATTCAAATTTATAGCAACTGTCAAATTCTCCTTATATCGTTCCAAGATTGGATTGTAACAGTTTGACCCCTCAACCGAATTGCATGAAAGATACCATCCAGTTTCCCTTTTTAATTCAGAACTCAGATTACCCCAGAATTCAATGTAAATAGAAAAGCAGAGAACATAGCAGAAAATGCCATCCACATACACAAATAAAGCCAACATGTTTATGAGAACGACTTAAGTATCACATGTCAAAAATGCCTACTTGGCTTAGAACTTAGATGATATAAGTCAGTATGTGTTGGAGCTCCTAAGTTATGAAGATAATTCAAAGTTACCCTTAGACAACATAGATTTGAGGATCCTTTGCTTTCAGGATGTTCTACACTCAGACTCTCAAACCCTGGGCCTTTCTTCCTGTTTGCTGTACTCTAGGCCATGGGAAGGGGATGACTCTGTGTTTGGAGAGTATGAGCCTTAGTGTTGCAGGTGATGCTTAGACACAACTGGAAGCAGGACCCCTTCTTTCCAGTGCCCGTATCAAGTTGTTAATACATTACAGTGCCCCGCACTCTGTCATACTTGGGACTTGGACTGATAGAAGCTTCCTAATTCTGCATCTTGGAATTAAGGAGCCGTTGGATCAGAGCTAGGCTCTTTGGAGCTCAGTTTTTGTGTGTGTATGCAAATTGAGAAGTAATGATGGGGAGAGTGATAAAATATTGCAGAGACAGTGTTCCTTCATAGATGCCATTGTTTGTCAGAATATTACACAGCAGTAACCTGGCACTGATGATTGAACCATGAGAGCTCAGTCAGAATCGAGGTGAGTGAAAGAAAAGTACACACGACTGTAATAATGTGTGAGAAGAACTAATGGTAGTTTGGACAGCACATTTTTAATGGAGTTTTATGAAGTATGCGCCAATTTTTCCTCTTTCTCTCTTACCTAACAATGCACATTCAAACCATGGTATTGCTGATGCTGTTGTGTGGTGGGATATTAAAAACCAGTGAGATGATGGAAGTAGAATGCTTTGGCTCCAAGTGGGGTAGCATTCGGTGGCACTGTGTGTGTGAGGCAGCCTTGCATTGGTCAAAAGACCAAATCGGGGCCACACAGAATGATAGTAACCTGTAACCAATAGTCCATTATTCATAAAACAGGTGGCACAGAAAAAAGAAAAGTAAGGAGCCTGTCATTCTTCCCTTTGAATTCATATTAATGAGAAATATTATCCTTATCAGGGGTGTCAGTTACATCTGTAATGAAAAGCTTTTGTATTGTGTATGTGTGTCTGTGTGTATGTTGTTGATTTTCTTTATAGCAACTTCTAAGTGTGATGTCTTCTTCCACAATAAAGAGTGAGCTCTAGTACTCTGAAAGGATCCTGGGAGCTGTCCAGTGTAGCGATAGGGAAAATTGGACATTAGGAGAGGGACAGAACGACTTTTCTGTTTGGTGAAATGAGATCCATGCTCTTTTAGACTTTTGAGAAGGCAAGTGGTTACAAACCCTTTAGAAAATGTTTGTCAGTACGTATGAACAGCCTTAAAAATATTTATGCCCATTGACAAACTTCTAAAGAATCAATTCTAGATGGGGTAAATTTTAATTCATAACTACATTCATTGCTTTGCATGAAAAAATTTACACTATCCTTGGTCATTTAGGCTAAGTAACCCATGAATACTATTAATAATATGGAAAGTTATCTATAATATATAATATCTATGATATTATAGCAGTGTAAAAATGGAAAAATCTATGCCTAGAAAATGAATGCAGGAATGAGATTTTTTTTTTTTAAGGCAAAAAAGTCAAGTCTTAAGTGTAAAAACTTAGGTAGCTATTCCTAACAAATTCTGAGAGGTTATTATAATTTATGTGATATTTTATTGTTCTATTACAAATGAGAAAAGTGAGACATAAAAGTGGCAAATTGCTTGGCCCAGATTAAATTAAATATTTGCTGTTGCTTTTGTACCTTTGTTGATATCTTCCTATCAAGATTCATTTGAAGAGAGTATGACATGCTCATTGCTATCTCGGAAGAATACTATAACTTGTTGTATCCTTGAATTCAAAACAATAACAGTGTTGTGATGCTGAAACAGAAAGAGTATGACAATGAGAAGCATACTGCCGAAAGATGGTGACCCATTTTGTGGCATCCCTTGGATACATGTCATTTGTAAATGTGTGGGACTTATGATGCTGTCTACTTTCAATTTATTCTGTGTCTTGATATCCGAGTTCATTTAAGTAACCACATGCTAGAAAGAACATAAATCTGGAAAGCAAGAAAAGTGGATCTAAACAAAAAGCTGTAAGGGAAAATAGACAGTAGATTTGGAAGATATAAATAATATAAAACTAGGATAAATGGTATATGAAGTGAAATTGCTCACCATATGAAAACCCTTCACAACCGTAAGAAGTTTCTCATAATTAATGCCTAGACAACAGCTTTTTAACACATCTCTGTTGTCCCAAAGAAAGTAAATGTTAATAATTTAGCTAGGTTCCTAAACTCTCCACCAAATTAGAAACTTCTTCCTAGCCATGTAAAATCAGCAGTTTTGATCTGGGGGAAAGAGAAAAATGCAGAAATCATTGAACTAAAATATTTGAGTTCTTCCGAATTACCTCCTTGCTTCCTTTCTTCTCTCTCATTAAGAAATGTAAACATGATAAGGTTTGCAAAATAAATGTAGCTCACTTTATTACTTATCTATCACTATGTGGGATGAGACGATTGTGTTAATAACCTTAAATGATAAAGCTCCATTGAAAATGGTCTTTACTTAAAGTCACATTGCATTAAATGGGGGCCTTGAAAATAATGATTTAGGTCTTAAATCTCTTGAGAGACATGGCAGACTTTTTTTTTTTTTTAAGTACAGAAAAAAATTGCTGCAAACATGAAATCCTGTATCAAGTTAATTATTTGCCAAATCATGTCTTAATGAGTGGATGGTATAATTACAAGAGTTTGAAAGTCACAGAGAGAAATCTGTAAAGTGGACTAATCACGTTCATCTGACAAATGATTCAGGATGGGAGAATGTTTGACTCTAAATGTAGAATTTAATGATCTGCGAGGTCCCAAAGTCCAAAGAAACTAATGAACTAGCATGGCTATTAGTCTTCATATGCCATGGTGCTTGTCCTATTATGTGGGATGTTTTGAACAATTGTTAACTCACTGCTTTTTGAGATGAAATGTAGAAAAACTTCAGCTAACCAGCACCCCAGAGTCCTACAATTGACTTTGAAAGGAAAACAAAATATGACAGATAAATCTGCCTCCCCAATTAAAGGAACAAATTGGAACTTCAACAGTTTCTAGAATGTTCCATGCCTCCTGTACCCTCCCAAACCGGTCTCCACATGCACATCTCTGTGGACCGAGAACAGATCTTCCTGGCTCAGCCATCAAGGAAGCTGTTCCATGCACTCTGCTTTGAAATGAGAATGTACTTATTATTATAGAAAGACAAGGTAGAATTTATGGTAAAACTGAAGTTTAATTAGGAAATTTCATTAGCCATCATTCATCTCTTTCTCTCTCCCACTCTCTTCCACTGCTCTGTCACTCTGTCTGTGTCCCGGACGCTTTTATCAGTGGAAAATTTGGGGATAGAGTCACTACTTTGAGGGACATCATTCCTCACATTTGGATTGAACATGCTCCTTATCAAATACCATCAAGGTCTCATTCTCACCACATACTGTGTTTTTATCTTCTAGATTATTCAGGACAGAATATTCAAGCACATATCACGTAACAGTTTAATATGGAACAAACATCCTGGAGGATTGTTCGTACTACCACAGTATTCATCTTATCTGGGAGACTTTCCTTACTACTATGCTAATTTAGGTAAGTGAGTTCCTTCCAGGGTGCTGCCCCTTGTTTACCCTCCAGATGTTGTCCAGACTCCGAGTCCCTTGATTTCTCCATCCTGTAGCAGGGTCTTCCCACCAGCCTACATTGGAGATGGCTTTCTAGAACCCTATCCTTAAACGGTGTATCAGGATCAAGAATTATAAATCCAGCAGAGCATTGCAAAATGAAAAAACTCCTTTCTTGTCTAAGCAGCTGGACTTCACATAGAGTAGACTCATTCCTTTTTGAGAAACAGGTTCCCCAAACTACAGATCATTTCGAACATGACGATGGGTTTGCTGTAATTTTATGTCTTCTCGTATATAAGATCGAACCAGGAGAGCTCTCCCTAATTTCTTTTTTCTTTTTTCTTTTTTTCTACAATCTCAACTTCTCTCTCTCCTACCAAAGAAAATTTGAATTAATAAAGGGGAAGGAGAAAGATTTAAGAATGGATGACGAGATAACTCTGTTCACGCATTTAACGTTTATTGTGCTTGTCTTATGTACTCTGTTAATGCAATGCTAGGTGTTTAGAAACAAAAAGTCAGATGAGATACAATCTCTGCTCTCAAGCAGCTTTTCGTCTAATCATAATGGGGAAAGAGAATGGACAGAGGGAGAAAGCTCTCCAAAAGGCTATTGTTATTGCCGTAGACCCTCTGTACATGGAGCCCCACTTGTGCTAGCGTTAGTAACATTTTAGACCTTTTCCCTCATTCACAGTTCCGAGTTGGAGAAACTCTGGGATAGTAAAGCATCTTTCAAGTCAATGTGGGAAAAAGATTCTAGATTTTCCACCCTGTCCCGATATTCTCCGTAGCCATCTCACCTCTTTTTTTTTTTTTTTTGAGTTGTGCGTGTTTAATTTGAAACTGATAAAAAGAAACTTAAAAGAAGTGGTGGCCCGAAATACCAACCAGTGACAAAGAACCCTTTCAGCCAAATCAAACATATTATGGGGACTGTATTAAAATCAGTGAATGGCCCACACAGGGTAATGTATTTAGAATTTGGTAATTTTCAGAAAAAGGCCAGAGTCATTAAAAAATGTCTACATATTTCCTGCGAGCAGTGAGATCTCCATGTGGAGGGAGCACATTAGAAGTGTGTACATGGGGCGCCTGGGTGGCTCAGTTGGTTAAGCGACTGCCTTCGGCTCAGGTCATGATCCCGGGGTCCTGGGATTGAGCCCCGCATCAGGCTCCCTGCTCAGCGGGAAGCCTGCTTCTCCCTCTCCCACTCCCCCTGCTTGTGTTCCCTCTCTCGCTGTGTCTCTCTCTGTCAAATAAATAAATAAAATCTTAAAAAAAAAAAAAAGTGTGTACGTGATGCTTCCTAAACTAGTACAGGAAAATGTAGACGTGGTGCTTGTCCTCACCAGGAGAAAGGAAACCCCTCCACCCTATTTCTTCTTCTTCGGCAAAGTTTTGAGAAAGTGGAGAAGTCAGCTTCTTTCTAACATGCAATTAAAGTACCAATCGGATGATCTAATTTGCTCTACAAAACACTCGCAGAATCCTTTAGTAGACGTTGTCTGATTCCTACCTTTATTCTATCAACATCAAAGCTTAACTCGAATGTCACTGCACACTCTCGTTTGCATTGAAGCTACCAAAACACAAAATTCCTGGGTCTGAACTACGGAAGTTTTAGAAAGCTTTTAAATGTGTCTCCAGTTTCCTAGTGAGTTCTTCCGGAAAACCTCATTTGGGGGGAGAAGCCATCTCGCTGCTTTCTCTTCCGTGGCTCCTGCTCGTTTTACATATTTATCTAAACCTTTCCACCCAGGGCTTCAGAGCACGCAGCAGCGGAGGTCTGGGTCATGTACTTTTTCCCTCAGCTTATGTCAGAGCCACACAAAAAGAGCTTCTCGACAGTGTAGAGGCTTCTGTCCAAAATGATGATGATGGGGCTGAGGGATAGCTGTGAACAATATTGAGCACTTAACTGTTCGCTGGGCCCTGTTCTCACTGCTGTGTCTGCATTCACGCCTTTCATTCTGTTCTCCTCACAGCCCCATAGGTTTGATGCTCTGACTCTCAGCCCCGTTTCACGGCTTTGGAGACACCGAGGGGAAGATCCCAGCCCCAGTGAGCAGGAGCAGAGGGACTCACACCTAGACAGCGAGGCTCTGGGTGCTGTTCTTTGAACGTTTACCACTTGCTGGTCATTATTGGAAATAGTATTAATCAGGCCAAAAAGACAAAAAAAACCACCCCAAAACCCTTAACTCTATTATGAAGAATAAGAGCTCTTCAAATACCCAGGGAGAGAGCACATTTCCTTAAATCCACCTTACAATGTCAGTGGCTGGAGTAGACTCTTCTGGGAGTAGAGGGTGGTGAGTGGTGGGCTGTGTGTTCAGACTTCGGGTCCCTAAAAAGCTGCAGGGAGGTCAAAGACACATCCCCAGGGGAGGACAGGTTATCCGAGGAAGAGCGTACAGGTGGACGTGGAGCTGTAAGTTATCAAGGTCTCAGGCAGCAGTTAACCAGCAGCTTTTCACCTTGTTTTTGTTCTGTCAGGACAGAAGAGGGAAAGGAAAAATACGCGAGGAGGGAACATCAGCTTCAGGGCGAGGCAATGGAGCGAGGAGGAATGATTTTCTAAGTGTTGTTTCCCGGTGTTTCATTGGGCTTCTCTGGCGTTTCTATTTCAGGTTTAAAGCCCCCCCCCAAATTCACTGCAGTCATCCACGCAGTGACCCCCCTGGTCTCGCAGTCCCAGCCAGTGTTGAAGCTTCTCGTGGCTGCAGCCAGATCGCAGTACTGTGCCCAGGTGAGTGGGGGGCCAACCGCCGCTCCTGCCTCCTGCAGACCCTGCTTTTTACCTGCTCTGTGCTCTGCTCCCTGGGGCTCATCCAGCGGCATGCCCTGTTACTCCCCTTTCACTTGTCATGCTTGTTACTCCTCCCTTTCATCCGATTAGCTAAACATTCTTGGAAGTGAAATTTAGCACAGGTAAGGGACGGGTTACAAAGAGATGTTTCACTGGGGTAAAGTTAAAACATATATACCAACACGTTCTTGAAAGAACGCGTAAGGACGTTATTTTGTTTTTAAATGTCAAAGTGTTACGATAACCTCAGACATGCCATGGGAGGACCCAGAAGACGGAAGTTTTCAACGGAAGAAACAGACTTGTTGGTGTCAGGAGGTGTCCACTTTTCTTTCGTAGCACCTGTGCCTTCATTATAAAATTGGGAGCAGAAGATTCTATCTATGATAACAGAATTTTCCAAATCAGTGTCACTCCCATACTCTTTCCACAGTGGCATTTCGGATTTGTAAATTAGGTTGTACAAGAAGGCTTACAAACCTGGAAAGAATTAAATCATATTGAAGTATGCCCTTCTGAACTGAACACACTTATTGGGAATAATAAAGTCACATAAAATCAGCAACCATTCTAGAGAATCCAAATCATGAGCTCACCCTACTAGTTAAATCTTGAATTCTCCTCTCTCCCACACTGCCTGGAGTAGCACCGCTTCCCAGCCAATGTTCTGGAGCTCACTACCCATTTTTATTTAATTTTGGTCAGTGTTGGTATCTCGCTCATCAAACAATATCAGAATTTAAGAAGCCACTGTATCAAGATTCAGCAACCCTGAAATTTACTTCTTTTCTCCCCAGCTTTCTCCTGCCCTCTTGATGTAGTTTTTTTCAGGGTTCTCTTTTTGTCCTCTCTCTCTCTAGTTATTGAGGTGACTGGGTTCTGGAGATTGTGTGGGAGGGGGGCTCTCTTTAAAATTCAAGTTTGATGTCTCCCTCTCTGCCTTGCTTAGGCCTCTTTCTGTCTCTAAGAAGAAGCTGGGTGGAGGCCTCACTAAAGTCAGCCTTACCAAGCCGTTCATGGCCTCCTGTCCCTTTCAGATTATAGTTCTATGGAATTGTGACAAGCCCCTACCAGCCAAACACCGCTGGCCTGCCACAGCTGTGCCTGTCATTGTCATCGAAGGAGAAAGCAAGGTAGGACGAAAAGGGGCCCTGAGCATGGAACCGCCATGGACTGTTTGTTTCTCCGTGGGGCACCGTGGGTGTTGGCACTAGACAGCTTCTTCCTGCCCCCCCCCCTCCCCGGGGAGCTTCTGGCTCTGGACTCTTTTTCCTAAAATTTTCCCTGTCACTGAAAATCCTCAGCTTTGACAGCTCTCGGTTCTTGAATTGGGGATTCGTGGGTCCTAACACCACCTCTTTAGGAGCTTTGTGGCCCCACATATCCTTTCCTTCTCTGACCGTCGGTTTCCTCCTCATCTACAAAATGGAAGTAATAACATATTCCTAGGGTTGCTACTAGGATACAATGAATTCAGGGCCTGGCAATAGTGATCCTTGTATAAACGAAAAGGATCAAGACAAAGCTGCTGACGGCGGCCAAGCATGAGGTTTGCTTAGCTGGTTCATCAGGATCGGTTGTGTCTTTCAGAATAGTGGCTCGTCCTCACATTTATCTTCAAAAGGACATCTGCACTTTAATTCCATATGGGTGTCTCCATCAGAGACTCACACGTGCTGCCTAGCTGTCCCCTTGCTTCCATTCTCCAATTCATTTTGCCTGGAACTGAATGATCTTCTAATCATCTCTCAGCCTTAAGGGACTCTATTTGCTAATGCTCGAAATCAGCATTTGAGGCCGTGTGTAATCTGGCCTTGGCCACCCTTGCCGTCTTCTTCTCTCTCATTGCTTCCCCCACCCAGACCCTGTCCTCTCACCAAATTTGATCATTCACAGTTCTCTAAATTGCACTGTATCCCCTCCTGCCTCTAATTCTTGCCTTTCCCTTGTGCTCTAAGTCTCAATGCTTTATCTCTGTTATCAAAATTTCCATGCATTCTTTAAGCCCCTGTTCCCATGCTACCTCCTTTTGGAATTTCTTCTGCTCTTGGCAGCCAGGGGTGAGTTCTTTTTTCTCTAGCTTCTGCTTGTTGCTTTCTTGTAGTTCATATCCATTGTGAAGAAATTAGTTGCTACTAAATGGAACAGATTGGTGAAGCATGTCATCTAAGAGACATCCTTTGTTAGTCCCCAAGAAGGCAGGTCTTGAGAGATTATCTCACACTAAGTAAAACATCTTTGAGCCAGGATAAAAAATAGCAATTAGGTCAAACCATTTGAAAATCATCATTTGGCTTGCTAAAAGTAGCAGTTTCATGTAGTTCGACATGATGCAGTGAGAATTACAACTGTCACGTGGGCAAGATGATCAATGCATTATCTATTCATTTCCAGTGTATGACCGCCTGCTCTGTGCCAGGCACCATGTAGTATGTTGGAACGCAGTGCGCGATATGACGGATAAAGTCCCAGCATTTGCAGGGCTGGAGTCAAGTAACATGGTTATCCAAGAGCTGCTTCATAAGCATTTAATGAGTAAAGGTGGGAATTAGAAAATCACCTGCCTCTAGGCATGGGTCTTACTTACCCTTATGAAATCCATCTCACCAGTGCCAATGCCCGAGGTCCTAAACAGTGCTCAGATGGCTGCTGTCAACTTTGGACTTGGGAATTCATTGTTTTTTGTGCTTCCATGGGTGACTAGCTCTCCTTCTGGTGGATAAGTCTTCCTTTGAATATGTCAGGATATCAAACAGGATCCAGTCAGACTGGGTGCCATTCTGACTTGTATAGTTAGTATTGCATTTTTACACACAGATTCACTGATTGATTTTTTATTCTCACTCTGTGAGTAGTCCCAGTTTCTTTATGAACAAGATGGTGGCTCGATCAGCTGTAGCTTATAAGATATTTCACATTCTCCCAGCCATATCAATTGCTACTCGGCCTTTTGGCTAGGATCAAGTGTTGTGCATTGTCCCAGCCATATCTGTGTCTGGGCTTCTGGCCGTTTGTTGAGTCCTAGCCTCTGCCTTGGCCTGTGATTCCAGTGGGCCATTCCTTTTCCCTCACTCTCACTGCCCTGGGATTGCACCACCTAGTAAAGCATTTGTACTTAATTAAGTATCACTTCAGGCTCTGTATTCTGGAACCTCGGCCAAGACTCAGGCCCATTTTGAGGATTCAGTGAGATAGTACATTACAGGGGCTTAGCCCTGGGCCTATGATGCACCCAGGGTCCACTAAATGTCAGCTGCTCTTCTGTGTGGCATTGGAACATTACAGTTTGTTTTATGGGCTGTGAAGCGAGTTATTCAAGTCTCTGTACCTCAATTTCTCCTTCAGTAAATGGAAGCAATCATAATACCTAAAACAGGGTTGCTAAAAGATCAAGTGGTACAATACTAGACGTGTAAATGCACTCGGAAGTGTGGATGCACATGGTGGGTGCTTGATAAATGTTAACTCTTACTGTGCTTTGTATAATTACTTAGGGATATTCCTTATCTTCCCCATTAGGCAATAAACTTGAGTCTTGGTCATTTCCTACCCATGTTTGCTAATTCCAGAAGGGGTTGGGCTGGTATATGGTAGCTAAATATTTCTTACATGAACTAATAAGCAAAACCCATTTCACTTAGGATTGACTTTCTAAGTACTCTAGTTCCTTTCATGTTAAACCACTGAACTTTTGGAATGTGGCTGAGGCAAGGTATTTGGAAGAGAGCGTCTAGTTTCTACACTAGAATTTGAAGTTGCTGGACGATGGGCTCATAACCTCTGTTGATGAAGCAGGTTCAGAAAAAGGAAATGGATCCTTTTATAAAACCAGTGGTTGGGAATGTAATGGGAAGGAAGTCATAGGTCCTGCTCATTCCCCATTGTACATTTCCATATCTAGCCTTGAGTTTAGGGTTGATCTGTTCACTGTTTTGGCTGCAACATTCTATTTTGAATTTATAGGCCTTGTCTGTGCAGCTCTCCCCTATAGACTTAACAAGGGAAAGGTCAGGGCATCGCTAAGCTGGCAGCTAATGGTTTCTGTGTTAGTCGGTGGACATGTAAACTGTATCAGGAGAATTGCTTCAGGCTGAGATTTCTGAGCACCGTGTATATGGGGTTGCTGATCGCTTTATATTTTATTTTATTTTGAAAGCCTGAGAAAGAAAAAGAAAACTTGACCCAGTTGACGGATGTGTAGGAGCAGACCCCGGAGCCATTTATGCTGTAGATACATCCCTTGAGCTCCCAGAGTTGGGCACTTCCCATCCTTTAATGTCAGCAGCCCTCCAGTAGCTTCATGGGCGTGGAAACCAAATCGCATAGATCAGCTGGCTTCTTGTTGTAAATACAAGCTTGAGCTTCCCGGCGGTGGAGGTCCTCAGATTTGTGGGTGTCGTAACTGTTGATATGACTTGCAGAGGAAGGTGGTGAAGATGAGGTTGCCTGATGTGCCCCCAATTCACTTTTGAGGTCCTTCTCGAACCTGAGACAGGTGTCACATAGTGGCTGAGGTGCTCTACAGAATCTCACCGTGGGGGATGAAATGCGGGCAGGTCCGTCCTGAGCAAGACACCTAATCTTTCTATGCCTTAGCTTTCTCAGCCGTAAAATGGGGTTATTACAAAGGAGAAATGCGATGCTATTACAATGTTAGTTATTCTTATCATTCTCATGGTTAGTTGTTCTGCAGAGTACATTCACCACAGAGGTTTAAGGTATGACTGTCACAGAGAAGTCTCTCTAGTCTTTTTTTTTTTTTTTAAGATTGATTTATTTATTTGAGAGAGAGAGAGAGAGCATGAGCTGGGGGAGGGGCAGAGAGAGAGAGAGAATCTAAAGCAAATTCCACACTGAGCACAGAGCCCGAAGTGGGGCTCGATCTCAAGACCCTGAGATCATGACCTGAGCCGAAACCAAGAGTTGAACGCTTAACCGACTGCGCCACCCAGGCGCCCTGGAGTCTCTCTAGTCTTAATTTTCCAGCTGGTCCTCTCATGCCCAAAGCCCTCACCCCAGACCGCCCGCACACACTTCACCATGCCTTATCCTGGAGCTGCCCAAACTTTATTCATATACTACCTTCACAGTTTGCCTAAATCCATGGACCACGTCGGCTATTTTTAATTTAATATTTGTCTATAAATCAGCTTACTTTTCATTTCAATGAGATGATTTTTAAATAACTGTACTACTACCTGTTATTGCTGTAGCTACTGATACATGTGTGTATATTTTTTTTCTAATCTATGCTAACATCCGTAAAGAGGAGAATTTTTAAATGTTTGTCTATGTACCTCCCAAAACGACGTGGCCTTCCAGCGGTGTGGGCCCCACATTTGGAATCACAGCTCCATCCGTCTAGTCTCTCCAGGCCTCAGTGTGCGGGTTCTCTCCTCTGTGCCTTCACATCCGCTCAGCCCTGTTTCTGCCTCACTTCTGTTTATACCTGGTGAATTCCTACCCATCAAGTCCTCCTGCAGTGTCATTTCTTCTCCGAGGCCTTCATCTGCCCTTCCGAGCGGCTGGTTGCAGGCTGGGACAGATCGTCTGCATCTTGATGTCTCTGCGGACTGTGAACTCCTCCGAGACGAGAGAATATGTCTCACTTACCTTTATGTACTCCCTTTGACTAGCACACAATAGGTGCCCAACAACTGTAGAACAAATGACTACACTGATGGGAAATGGAAGTCTTCAATGTTGAGGGGTGACATGGTGGCAGAACATTCTTTTTGAAGGTGAGGATGGGGGAGTTTTCCCGAAAACAGGTCTCGAAGTTTACCTCTCCTTTCCTTAATTCCTTCCCTCCTGCCTGCTTTCCACCCACTCCCAGGTTATGAGCAGCCGTTTCCTGCCCTATGACAACATCGTCACAGACGCCGTGCTCAGCCTCGATGAGGACACTGTGCTTTCAACCACGGAGGTAAGCGCCCCCACCTGAGGAGCGGGCGGGGGGCTCTTCAGGCAGTTGCCCCAAGCCCCAAGGTGCCGGCGCTTCCTTTTCCCCGGGCCATGGCCAACCTGAAAACCTTTTTCAAAACTTCCTGCAGAGTCGGTTCTAATCAACCCAGTTCCTGTGAGCACCTTGCCACCACCTGGTGCCCGGAAAAGGGCATTTTCCCCTTCGTTTTCTCTGCTAATTGGCTTCTCATTTGCATGGCTGTGCCTCACCTCTTCCCTCCTGCCTGCCCTCCTTTTGTTTTTAAACAGCACAGCTACCGGCAGGTGTGTGGTACCCAGAAGAGAAGGGGGGGCACCTGCTTAGCATCATCTTGAGACCACACGGTGCAGAGCAAACGGCCCATCCTTCCCCAGTGATCCGAATGCCTGTGTGGGTGTGTGTTGCCTTTGTTGGCGAACACTATTCTGGGTTCTGAAGGCAGCCTCTCTGTCTCAGTTTTAAGTGCTCATTTTCTTTCACCCGCACAAGAGCAAACGGTTTCACTTTAAGACTGAGACGGGAGATCCTTGCTATTTCAGATGTTCAGGTATTTGTGCCAAAAATAAGATTGCACAAAAAACGTGTGAGGAGGAGAGAGAGAGAGAGGAGGAGAGATAGATATGATAGAAAACCAATTTTTACAACTCGAATGAGTATTGATCTCAGAAACCTTACTTTAAACCATCGAGGGGACCAAAGACAGTTCTATAAAAATGTCGTATATTGGAAATGCATTATTAATAGTAGCTGCTAAAAAGCATGGAATCTGAGCTACTTATACCTTTCCCTTTCTTTTCCCCCTCTTATTCATAATCATTTTCTTTTCAATTTAAACATCGACACTTACCAGCATGCACTTTCCTGGACGCCAGTCCGATTCTAATAGCCTGCCATCCATGTAGCCGGCACTGGGTGTTAACCTAGGCTAGCAGTCCCACTGTCTCCTTCTTGAAATTCCATGGATGCTTCCAATTTCCATACGATGGAGTTGAACAGACATTATGTGCAGCCTGAACAACCCCAGGACAAAATGCCCTGGGCCTCACCTTGGTAAAAGGCTTTCTCTGCATCCCAGGCTCTATAAATACTCGGTGAATGAATGATTGAAGGGATGCATGCTGAGGGAAGCAAAGTGTGAACGCACAGCCGATTGTGTCCTGTGCAAGTTAGCGGGAGAAGGGGGCTCGGGGGGCCGGGGGGAAGATAGGTTTAATGTTCCAAGGGAACGGCAGCTATGGACTACGGGGTATGGGACACTCTGGCTTGCATGTTTCTGCTGCTTCCTGCAAGGGAAGCTGGCATCTGAGGAGCACATTCGCTCCCCAAGTATCTATCAAGGGATCTCTTTGTTCTACTCTCCGTGCCGGGTACTGGGATTACACAGTTCCTGCCAATGGCCCTCCGAGTCCTGGCAGCAAACAGAATTCAAGTCAGGTGATTCCAGCGAAGGGATTTCGGATGACTTAGGTGGGTGGGGTTAAAGACGCTGAGGTACCTGGAGAGCAGCAAAACAAGCAGCAGCTCCCCCTGCCCCTTCCCCCAGGTCTGAAGGAAATAGTGTTTCAGAGTCTCTGAGAGGTGTAACTGGGGAGAGGACCTGCCCGATGGGAGCTATGATCACGGGGGGATGTGGCAACTGCCCGAAACTCTGCTGCCAAACCTAGGAGGGAGCCAGGGAGAAATACTCCGACCTCTCGCCCTCTGTCCCGCCTCCGTTTGCCGGCGGGTGACTCCCACTGACCTAACCCGGTCAGCCACTGGCCTGTCAGGAAGACCGGGCTGTGCCTTCCAAAGTGGACCTTGGAGGGCAAACACAGGGAGAACAGCACCTCGCAGGAATGTGTGGTCAAGACAGCGATGGCATATATTTAAATCCTTATCCCTTGACCTCAGGTACTCATGCAGTGTATGTCTTCCCCTGGGCAATCAGTCCCACTCTAGAGTTGTTTTTTTCCCTGTCCCACGGTCACATCTGTTTCGGCTTCTGTGACGTTTCCATGGGGCTGGTGAATTTCTTTTCAAAGACGAGCAATTCCAGCCGCTGGTACGCGCTGGGAGGAACGTGTGACCTCTAGGAAGTAATTAGAAGTCCGTGTGGATGGAAAGTGATATGTAAATTTAAGAGGCCGGTGGTCTGGTTTACTTTTGCCTGCTGATCATGGCGTGATCGCATCACCTAAGATGGTCAAGGACGAAGGGCTTCTCTTTTTTTAAGTGAATAGATGGTGGTTCATTTTATTTCCTCTCTAAGGAGTCTCCGCCTGTTTAAATGCCTCCCTGTAGTATTAAGGATAGATTTTTAAACAGCATTCTGCAAACGGTATTAGATTTAGTTGGTTTACAGTTATTTACATTTATCTGCGTTGCTGCAAATTCTCAAAAGAAAACAGATGTTGGTTTTTAAGCTGACCTCTGCCTCCTTTGGTGTGTTAATGATCTTCGGGAAAGCGAAACTATCACAAGAATCATAGTTTTATCTGAATTTACTTTTTGAGTTCCTTTGAAATGACTTGAAACAGCTTTGAGAGAGTAAGAAATTCATGTGATGAGAAAACCCCATCGGGTTCTATAGGCGTTGCCAGGGTGTGTGTTTCCTTTTCAAAGAATCATGGAAAACCCGAAAGAGCACTGGCAGCCGGCCTGCTTGACGACGGGCTGCATGAGATACCGTCCTATCAGTTGACACCATTAATATTAAGCACCAGTGCTGGTGTGCAGGTTATCACAACCCGATTTCCATCTTCTGGCAAATACTGTCCACTCCCCTGCTGCTGGTTTTGAGATGCCCTGTTCCCCAACAGGCTTTCTTAACGTATTTTCCAACACCCCTACTTTTTTTTCTGGATGTTTCCATTTGGGTGGGGGGGACAAGCTATATGCTTAAGGCTCTCTTATCTTGAGTTAGGGGGCCAAACTAGATTTTCCTAAAAATTTGAATATATGGCTGTTCACAAAAACAGTGACTTCCAGACCCAAAGGATTCAGAGATAAAAGGACCCTCACAGATCCCTCAGGCCAGTGTTCTGGAAGGATGGTGTGTGCCCCTTAGTTTTGCATGGTCCATGGCAAGCATATTTCAGCAATTATATTTACTGTTTGTTGGAAAACAATATAGCCAGCAACCAGACCTAGGGTTTCGCTGACAGGTTTGCCTAGGATGAGGCTAATGGGGGGGCGGGGGGAGCCAAGCATGGGCAATTTAAAGAACAACAGGAAAGAAGTGATTGTATGGTGTGGGAATGTGGCAAAACGGGAATGACATTGTGCATGTGGGGAAAGCATGGGGACTACTGATCTAGGCTGAATTGCTTTTTCTTTTAATTGAGGTAACATTCACAGCATGAAATTAACCATCTTAAAATGAATAATTGAGTGGCATTTACTGCATTCACGATGCTGGGCAGTCATCAATTCTGTCTTATTCAAAAACATTTTCATCACCCAAAAAGGAGACCCCATATCCACTCATCAGTCACTCCCTAGCTTTTAGAACCACACATCTGTTTTTTGTCTCTGTGGATTCGCTTCTTCGGGCAATTCATACAATATGTGGCCTTTTGTGGATGGCTTCTTTCACTCAGCACACTCTTTGCAGGCTCATCCATATCCTAAGTATTCATTACTTCTTAGCGCCGAATAATGTTCCGTCGTATGGATATACCGTGGTTGGTTTATATATTCGTCAGTTGATAGAACCTGGGTTGTTTCCACTGTTGGCTGTTGCAAATAGTTACTGCTCTTCGACCTCTGGGGGATGGGAACCGGACTTAACAGCATCACTCCGTTCCCAGCCACCATCACAGCGCCGCGCCTGGAAATATTTGTGGAATAAATGAAATGTCCATTTGCGTTGCTTATGGAGAAGAGACAAGAAAGTTTGTAGGCTGAGTGTGTAACCTGTAGAAGAGTTGAATTGTGCTCAATACTGTAGCCGGAGAGCTAAAAAGGAGGCTATGGTAACAGTACATGACACATTTGAAACCAGATGGCTGGATTTAAATCTTGACTCTGCCACTTACTGCACCTCCATGTACCTTAGCTTCCCTCTCTGTAAATTGAGACTATAAAATTACCGACTTCACAGGGTGATATTGTGAGGATTACGTGAGTTAAAACTTTGGTCAGAGTACTTACGTGTAAGTACTCTAACCAAAGCATTACATGATTATGAGCATTATGTGATTGTTTGCTGTTACTGTTCTAAATTTTTTTTTACTGTCTGTGTACTTCTTTATCATTCATCAGTCATAGCAAGTAAGAAATTTGCTCACACGTTTGAAAACAGACTATTTGCTAATTATAAATGTCGGTTTTTAGCAGGTTGAGAAGTACCTGCTCTGGGTTATCATAAGCACTGGACAGTCATTTACCTGCATTTTCTTTAAAATAATCACGTTTAGGGGTGCCTGGGTGGCTCAGTCGGTTAAGCGTCTGCCTTCGGCTCAGGTCATGATCCCAGGGTCCTGAGATCAAGCCCCGCATCGGGCTCCCTGCTCTGCGGGAAGCCTGTTTCTCCCTCTCCCTCTGCTGCTCCCCCTGCCCTCTCGCTCGCTCTCTCTTGCAAATAAATAAATAAAATCTTTAAAAAAAATAATAATAATCATGTGGCTTCACTTGGCCTCTTCCCTACTTACTCTTAGTGATTTTTCACTGTGGATGCTTTTTCTAGCTTTCCTTTTTGCTGAGCATCTTCAAACCTGAGAGGCCTGACTCACATTTCTCTATGATACCTGCTCTGAATTCCTGTTAGAACTTGTGTAGTTTTTAAACTTCTTTTCTCTTGCTCTTAAGAGGATGCTTTTATTTTAGTCACTTTGGCTTTGCTGGATGCTAGTCATGATGCATGCTGTATATTCATACTCTGGATGTGCATGGGAAATCTCTCGTTTACAAAACAGATGCATGTGTGCCTCGCATGAAACAGTGGTCACGTGCACCAAGGACGGAGGAGGGGGAGACAGCGGTTGCTTTTCTGACTTGTGTTTTTGCTTGAACAAACTGGATTCTAAAGGACATATCAGCAGTTTCTTTTCTTCTTTCGTTTCTGCACTAATCTGAAGTTTCTTCAACAGAAAACATTAAAATGTGCATAATTACGGGGCAAAATGTCAAGCAGTCAGTTTAATTTGCTGATGAATACATGGAATTAATGTTTCGCAACAGTCCTGGGATTTCGCATCATGAATTAGCAGGGGGAAGGTAATGTTTTGTTGACATTTGTTAACACTGTTGATTGCTTGTTTGGCTTGTGTTCTGCCTGCAGGTGGATTTTGCCTTCACCGTGTGGCAGAGCTTCCCCGAGAGGATTGTGGGGTACCCGGCGCGCAGCCATTTCTGGGATAACTCTAAGGAGCGGTGGGGGTACACATCCAAGTGGACAAACGACTACTCCATGGTGTTGACAGGAGCTGCTATTTACCACAAGTGAGGAATTTAGAAATCCCGCCTGTCGATTTTTACGTAACTCCTTCTATCGTAGCTTCTGGCTGTTGCATAAAGAGGAACTTGGGCCAAATCTCGTGAGCAACAATAACAAAAATTAGTTTGCATCGCTGTTTAAGTTCTGTCGGTGTGGCCAGCCTGTGTCTTTGAAACCAATAAAACCCCCTGGCTTACTACTGCATTTCCAGAAATAATGGTAGAGAAACATATCAGGTTGTCTGGAGTTGGAGGACATATTGAGTAACTGAACATTTAGAATAACAGCAACAAAAGTACATACTTAATTGTGCACCCCCAGACATCATTCTGAGTGCTTGGGATTTACCAAAGAGTTAAAAAAATTTTTTTTTCTTGCCTAAGTAGGTTTTCTATTCCAACAAGGGGAGGACATGATATTTGTAATAATTCTATAATAGGTTAAGGGGGTGAGTTATATAGCAAAAAGGCAAAGTCAAGCAGATCAAGGATCATGAATGGTGAAGGTAGAGGGGAGGTTCAAGGGTGGCCAGTGATTCTCATTGAACAGGTGAGATCAGAGCAGAGACTTGAAAGAAAGAGGGGAAATCATCCAAGATTTTTGTAAGAAGAGTGCTCTAGTGTAAGGAACAGCTGAGCCAGAATGTTGGATAAATGCTCTGAACCAGAATGTTGGAGGAATATCAGGAAGACCAATGTGCTGAGAGTAGACTGAGTGGAAAGCAAGAGAGAGAGGTCATGGGGGGCCCAGATGCAGGACCTTGGTGCCCATCATGAGGACTTCACTCTGAGTGACGTGGGAGCCAGTGCAGGGCTTTGAGCAGAGTGGAGACATCTTTTTTATATTTTAGGGCATCCCCTCTGGTTGCTGTGTTGAGAGCAGACTATATGGGGGCCAGGGTAGATGCAGGGAGATCTATTAGGAGGTGATTGACATCTAGGCAAAAGATGATGGAGCCTGGGAGCCAGAGGTGGTAAGTAGTGATCAGATTGTGGGCATATTTTGAAGATGCTCTAACATGATGTCTTGACAGATTGGTTATAGAGTTTGATGGTTAAGCTTTTTTGACCTAAGGAACTGGAAGGATAGAGAGGCCATCAAGAGATGGGGAAAGCCCTATGGATGGATTTAGGTTTTAGGGAAAATACAGAGTTCAGTCTTGGGCATGTTAAGACATCCAAAAGGGTATGTTGGAAAAACAGCAGGGATGGAGATATACATTTGGGAGTTGTTTGAATATATTTGGTCTTTAAAGCCAGGGGACTTGGGTAAGACTGCCAAATTAGTGAGTTTAGATGGTTAACATTACTGACTCAGTCATTTTCATCCATTCTTCTGCCTAGTCTTTTTTAGTAAAGGATAAAAAATCTTGCTATCTCAGGGATAGAGTTGGAAGTGCATAAACAATAAGCATTTAGGTGAGCCGAATCTTGATCTTAAGACCCTGCCTCTTAAAAGTTCATTGTTCCCCTTTCTTCCCTGCCACTAACACACACACAGTGAATCTTATTCATTCAAGTTATTTTTCCTATAAGTATATGCTATTATGTCCCTCTTAAAAAAAGAGTAGAGTGAGAAATAAGTCAACTTAATTATGGGTCCTCCATAATGCCTGACCACCAGATTAATTAAAGTTTTGATCTAACTGTCAAAATAATATGGTTTATAGAACACAAAAATGGAATAGTATATTGTTGGACTCAGAGTTATAGGATAGTATTGACTACAGTTCTGATTAAGCCAGTAATTAAAATTGTAAAGCAGTTTGTAAGGATATACAGATTATGTGTAAGTAACTTCTCTTACCATCCGAGTATTCAGTTCCTAACCAACCACCCTGATATTAAAGTCAGGCTGGCCAAGCAGTATCTGCATCTGTGTGTATCTCTTGTACCTTCTTTCCTTGTCTGTAAAGCAAGGATAATAATAGTACCTATATCATAGGTTCCTTATGAGGATTATATGGGGCATTCCTTGTAAAGCACTTTAGAACGTTATCTGGCATATAGTAAGTACCGTATAAGTGATGGCTGTCGTCATCGTCATCCATTACATGTTTAGGGATTCAAACAATCAGTATAGGTTTCCTATCAAAGAAGACCACCTGTGATTATATAATGATGGCCACCTATGAAACCTGTCTTGCTTTTACAGATATTATCACTACCTGTACACCCATTACCTGCCAGCCAGCCTGAAGAACATGGTGGACCAACTGGCCAACTGTGAGGACATCCTCATGAATTTCCTGGTGTCTGCTGTGACAAAATTGCCTCCAATCAAAGTCACCCAGAAGAAGCAGTATAAGGAGACAATGATGGGGCAGGTAAGAATAGAACTCTCCTTCCCTGCTTTGCTCGCTGGTGGTTCAGCATGGGGTAATGACTCACAGTTCCTCTAGGAAGGATAATGAGGAAATTTTAAAAAAATATCTGAAAGTCCCAAGGGAGTATATGGTTGGCACATGGATGATTGGGAAGACGTAAGTCAAGGGTATCTTTCTCTCGAGATTGTAAAAGCTCTCATATAACCTACAAAGTGGCATGAGAAACATCAACCTTCTCCAGAGTTTAAGACCTACAAAGAATTTGTGTAAGCTTATTGTAGGTGCTTTATTTAGTAAATAGCTAATAATATTGTCCTCAACACAGCCTTCTGGTGATTGCTTTTGAGTTGGGTGAGCATCTTGGTGACAGACCAGGAATCACAATCCTTGATTTTCACCTGGAACTGGCACATAGAAGCTATAGACAAGTCGGTTACCTCCTGAAACACAGTTGGCTCATCTCTAAAATGGAAACGGTAAAAATCGACCTCACAGGGTTGAGATAACATGTATGAAAACTTCTATGAAAGTAAAATATTGTTGAGTCACATAAGTTTAGAACTAAAGATACTTGCAAGGAAATCTAATCCAACTTTCTCTTTTTACAAGTAAGAAAACGAGGACTCAGAGAATTTAAACATATTGCCACAAGTCACCTAGTATTAGAGACAGAAGTGGGAGTTGAATCCCATGCTCTGTTCCTTCCACTACTCTTTATTTTATACCTCCGGCTACTATATCAGGCTGATCTGGATATGCCGAGGCTCATTCACCTTTATTCGTCTTGGACAGAGCCCAGTACTATATGGAAGAAATCAAAAACCTGTAGACCATTTAGACACACCCAAGTTAAATCCTGGAGAATCCAACAGCATTTGAGTCAACCTGGAAGGACTTACTTGAGGGTTGGATTAGTTTGCTTGTTGAGGTTTTCCATGTACCTTGTTCCAATCATTATTGAAAATCATATACAGATCTAGCTTTTGCAAAGGAAAACTTAACCAGACCTCATGTTAACAAAATTGATGGATTTTCATTCACTAAATTTAGTAAGAGCAAAAATCTTGCAGGATCTTAAGTTTATAGAATTTCATAATTCAGTATTTACAAATATGTACTGATTATCAGGCACTGTCCTTAGTGAGCAATGAGTCTAGTGGAAAATTTTATTTCCCTCTAACTACTAAAAGAACAGGAAAGAGGATTTGCAAGAATTTTTCATCTTTAAGGCTAACAGACTATTCCAATTCAAGCAAGATGTATTGAGTGGCTACTGTGTGCCCAGGCGTTTTTATCTATGTCATTTAAGGACACAACATTCCTTTAATATTGTTTGCTCAGAGAGTTCTATGAACTTCCCTGAGGTTATACACTCATTAGGAGTGGAACTCTGATAACACGTGGTTCCTTAGGAGTTTGTTTTATATATATATATATTTTAAGATTTTATTTGTTTGCCAGAGAGAGCACAAGCAGAGGGAGTGGCAGGCAGAAGGAGAGGGAGAAGCAGACTCCCCGCTGAGCAGGGAGCCCGATGTGGGGCTTGATCCCAGGACCCTGGGATCATGACCTGAGCCGAAGGCAGCCGCTTAACTGACTGAGCCACCCAGGCGCCCCTTGTTTTATATTCTTTGCATAGATTTGCCTAATCCTACCAAACCAATATTTCAAGTGATTTTACACATACTTTGGGACAAATCTGAATTTAGCCTTAGATATAACTCGATGTGTCTTGTTAGATATGTACTGTATATGCCCCCCGCCTTCCTATCATGCACATGAGTTTATTGAATGTATGACTGGTAAAAGGATATCATGTGCTAATAAGATTATGTTTTTATTACAAAGGAACTCTATCTTCTCTCATATGTTGGTTGACCCAAAATAAATGTTAAAATCTACAGGCAAAAATGATACTTGGATGATTCTGAATTCTTTTTTTTTTTTTTCCATTTGTAAAAGAGAGTAAGAATAAGCTTAAGCTCTTGACATTAGTCCGTTTGCATATGTGTGCACTTGCCTGGGGGTAGGGAGCCTGGCCCCATACCAATTGAGAAACAAAATGAGGTCCCTTTGGGACCGTGTGCTCTGATCTGAACTCATCTGGTTAGCTTAATTAGAAACTTTCTCTGGCTTACCAAGCAGAGTTCTCGTAGTATAAATGGTAAAGGATGGAACCTGAGCTCTGCCCCTTTCCAGCCTTGAACAAGTTTAAGTGTAGCTTCCCTGAACCTGCTTCCTCCTCTATGCGGTGGGGATGGTATTACCCCACTGGGTAGGGAACTTGACCAGGTTGTTGTGATGAGACTCAAATGAGCTTCATGGAAACACTTTACAAGTAGTGTTTTGTTTGTTATTCTGCTGCTCAGAGGTAACTTGACATTTGTATTTACCTTCAGTGGTTCCTTTCAAGCATGTTGACACTTGTGGTTTTTAAGTGACTCTGAGTGATTCTCACAGTAAAATGTACCTTCCTGCGAAAGCATTTTCCAACAGTGCATGAGAATAAAAACACACTGAACACACACCCATGCGTATATACATCATTGTACAGTTGCCCATTGATAAATGAGTGGGGGGGTTCCCCCAAAATCCGGTAGCTCCCTTTTTCTTTATTTCATAAAAATGTGGTTTGAACGACATGATGCTTATTTAAATGTCAGCACTTAAGTCATTTAAAGCTTTCTTTTAATTCAGTGTCCTCTACATGATCTAAAAGTGTTTAACCAGCCTTAAGGCAAACACCGAGAGCTAAAGAGATGGTAGCCATCTTTTCTGCTTACCCAGAATCAACCAAGTAAACCAGAAGGTTTTAGAAAACTGTCTTTGAAACCATAAACACATTGTGAGTCATCGTATTTGTTCACATGTATGAAGAGAATTTTTATGTTTACTGACCATAGTAGTTGAGGCTCAATGGTAAATCATTCCCAGACCAGAGAATCAGTCCATGTGGAGCTTTGTTTGTATGTTTTTAACGTCAAGGAATGTAGCAGATCTTGGGAAAACCTTCTGGCAAGGCTGAAACCCAGGACTGGTGCTTGCACCTTCCCCAGCACAGGGGAGGTTGGGTGGCCCGTCCAGACCCCAAGCTCTGCCGCTTGCCCTCGAACCTGACTGTGGTTCTCTGCAGCATCCCCATCGTACCTTGCACCTCGCTCATTGTCTTCCTGGTTTGTCTCCCTTTCCCCAGACTTCTCGGGCTTCCCGCTGGGCTGACCCTGACCACTTTGCCCAGCGACAGAGCTGCATGAATACGTTTGCCAGCTGGTTTGGCTACATGCCGCTGATCCACTCGCAGATGAGGCTCGACCCTGTCCTCTTTAAAGACCAGGTCTCTATTCTGAGGAAGAAATACCGAGACATTGAGCGACTTTGAGGAATCCAGCCAAGTGGGGGAGGGGAAGCGAGAAGGGACGGGGTCAAGCTGCTCTCTCTTCCCAGTGCAGATCTGCTCAGCAGCGGAGCCAGATTGTGCCAAGTATCCAAATAATCTTAGATGAACAGAATGATAACAAAAAAAAAAAGGAAAAAAGGAAAAAAAAAAAAGGCCAATGAAAACTCGACTCCCGGCTCCTGGGACTGCACAGGACTGCTCCACACTCACCTCACTGGCTTCTATGTCCCAAGACTAGGTTGTGTACAGTTTAATTATGGAACATTAAATAATTATTTTTGAAATTATTGCTATGCAGGTTTAAACTTTTTTAATGATCAAAACTATTAAAAACCAGAGTTCTTTCTTTAATCAAAATTGTGTTGGTCGTGACTATTTCAAAGCTGCTACTCTTCTTCCCACAAACATCATTGCCCTTGGTCATGCAGGGTTTCCTGCGGTTACAAATGTTCAGACTTCCTGGAAGACACAAGAAGTCACTCCACCCAGTGTCAAGAAATAACCAAGCATAAGTTAAGACAAGTTCATTATTCCACTTTGCCAGTGCAAATTGTTTTCCACTTTGAATTTGCAGATCCACTTGAACTTCTGTCTCTAATATGTTACTGCATGAGAGAAAGTATTATGACCTCCAGGTAGACAGTTGTAACAGAAAACTTTATGTCTGAGATATAGAGGTATGATCATCTTTTGCACTGGGGGTTGGGGGGTAGTTAGGACTCAGAAAACACTAGTATAATTAAGAATGTTCAGCTTACACAAGGAACCATCCAGACAATCCACCAGCATATTAGATGGAAATATTGACCCGCAACAGTAACCCAAGGCTCTTCAGGGATGTGGGCTACATTATGCATTGAACCTTTGACACAGGGCTGCTGAGCGCTGGGGGAAAGCTTTGGTTTAGAGGCAGAAGAACAATGAATGTGTCCGTGGCAGACCAGGAATCACAAGACAAGCTCTTGATGTTTGTGAAAACCTCAAGTTTGAGAGGCTTCTCTGTTGAGAAAGTAGTACTCACATGTAAATTCTCCCCGTTGAACACAAGCATTGCTGAGAAGTCACCGAGGGTGTACCTCACCACTGGGATCCTGATACCTCTTTGGGTCAAGCCTTGTTTCGAGCAAGAACTTGGCAAACAAAATAATCAGAAACAAATGTAAATACCATTTTCTGTCGCTTTAATTTTTAAATCTGTGGAGAAGCTGAGTTGTGCTTCTTGTTAAAAAGAACATTTCTACCCCTGCAAATGCTGCTTTGAGTTTCTGATGATTGTAAAACTGCAACTATAAACAGGAAAAAAAAAAAAAAAATATATATATATATATATATATATATATATATACATACATACATGTCCCTTAACTCCCTTGTAGAAGATGAAGATTTCTGATATTAAATGCCTTCTTCTACTTGGAAGAGGCAAGAGAGAACAGAGGGGATCATTAGTGGGTCCTACCACCTCTTATTCTGAATAAACAGAAGTACTTTAAATTTTTTTTCCCCCTAAACTCTCAGAGAGCTTATAAATTTATTTCTAGTGTTGGCTGGAAAGAAAATTCCATCACAAAATTATGTTCAAATTCTTCCAAGTGCCTGGCTCAGGTCAATAGGAACCATAAATCCGGCAGACTTGAACTCATCTTGCTTTGTAGACATCCGGAAGGGAAAGAGGGACTGGCGAGAGAACAAGGAGGAAGGGCCCCGCGGACAAGAGAGAAACTGGGTGTTTGCAGAGGTCCAGAGAGGTGACACAGGGCTGCGTGGCAACAGAGTGAGGGCCAGCCTGTGCATCCCGGACACTGCGCTGGGAGTGGCATGAGGGCAAGGAAGCTCCATGAAAGGGGGGCTTTTCTCTGCAGCCTCGTGCCTCAGAACAGTTCTCGAAGGCTCTCTGGCATACAGTGTGACCCAGCGTTAGCCCATTCTCAAACACGTGACATTTTCTCCCAAATGGATGTGATTCGCTCTTCTGTATTTGTTGAAAAATAATTCTTAGGTCCATGGTACTTGCACTTGTTTCTTCCTCTGAAATGTCCGGTTTGACACGTTCGGTGCCATTGAAGCTGGAGGTCTGAGCGATGTCAAGGGTTAGCAGTGAATCCTTATTCGCCTGGCCTTGGCAAGATTGTATTTAATTTTTTAGGATTGCCAAAATATTCTCGTAGCTTCCTCCTTTGCAAAAATGTGAATGCAATGTTTTGTTCAACGACCCCCTAGCCAACTTGAACCTCCTGTTGTCACTTGGCTGGCAGAGCCGTGTCCCTAATTGTACCAGTCACATGAATAGATTCAGGAACCCGCTTTGTGAGATTTACCTGTCACAAAGCTCCCAGGGCATATTCTCCACAAATGGTATGTGTTACGTGAAAGAAAAAAGACGGTAATTATAAATGAGAACAGGATCTGACACACTCGGCCACTTTAAATCTCCATGGTTTCATTTCATGTCATTGTCTGAGCCAATCTCTTTGGGATGCTAGCTGGTGTGTTCTTTTCCCATTTGGAACATACAGCTGGGAATTGAACAATGCTTAGCACATCCGTGAGGCCCCATAGTAAGATGTAATTTTAATTCACTTAGGCAAGAGTTCTATTTCACTGCAGCAAGTTGACAAATGATAACCATCTCTGTGGGGTGTCAGGAGTTATCGCTCAGTCAAGTTTAATGATAACCAGGTGTCCCTAAGTGGGCCAACATGAATTGGGAAGAAGCCAAGGCCGGAGAGTGCAGCACCAACCCTGTAACAAATTACATGCAGACACTCCATAGAGGACTCGGCCGCTTATGATTTCTACACAACCATCTTCTTCCAGCTCCATGTTAGGACATAAGATCTTAAGAATCATTTTTTTAAGCTGGCTTATGTATGTATATAAAAAGGTTTATAAATAGCAAGTCAAGTTTGCAGATCCGTGGAGTAGACCACCTTTGTCAAAAACCAAAATGGAGGCTGTAGAGGAAAACCCAGGAAATCATCCTTGTGGTCCTGCCTGAGAAGATCACGCCGCTGGGCGGGCCCACCTGGACAGAGCAGCCCGTTTTCCAAAGGATGCTTCAGAAGAAAGTGAAATCTCTCCTACCTGGAATCGGATGTTCATTACAGGTTACTTTCTTGTTACACATGGTGCTCAGAGAAGGACCGCTCTCAGTTGCTTCCTTCCATGTTCCTTTTGGAGTGATTTTTGTGTTTTCGTTTCCAGTGGGCGATGTTAGCCTTTATTTTAGTGGTTCCGGATACCTGGTCACTTGAAGGACTGTTATGCTGGTGGCCTTTCATAAAGGTTACTCAACTTTAATTGGGGGTGAGATGAATGAATATGAGTAGACCCATATACTGCCTTTTTTTTTTTTTCTTTCGAAGTGAGCTCTTGATTTAAGAACTAAGGAAATTTTAGTCAAACCTGTTTGAAGGGCAAGAGTGGGGAGAAGACAGCTCTGCTGGGTGAGAATCTAAGACTCTTGCTGGACAGGCTGAATTAAGGATGCAAAGGCCAAGGCAGACTTCCAGACCTGAAGATGTCTTGCATTCTCTCTGGTCTCTGAGAGCTCCAGTTTTAAAAAGGACCAGTTATTGCCATGAACTCTTAAATAAAAATGTCCCTGCCTTCTAATGGTTAATATAATCGACAAGCGGCCGGTCCAGCAGGCCTTGAGTTGCTGAATTCATTTGCCTCGTTTCCATTTTCAGATGGCTTTGTCATTCTTGGCCAGATTTAACCAAAAAAGTTCTTTTACTGCTGGCCTCCTTTTCTTGGGCATGCTTGAGGGGTGCGAAGTTGTTTTGACTTTTCAGTGAATAAGCATTAATATCAGACGGTGCTAAACTTGTCTCCCTCAGTCTTAGAACCTCAGCATGCAGACATTAGATTATTCTTTCGACTCCAGGTCTACTTTTGAAAAATGAGATCCAGCATCCTTAAGAACACAGCATCCCCCTTCAAGTCAGTAACCCTGTCCAGATGCTGTGGATGGATAGAAAAGCTGCTATTTACAACAGAATCTCAACAATGAAGATGACTCCTGAAAACCATCTCCTCTTTTTGCCTTTTCAAGAAATCAAAGAATTGTATTATCATGGTTTTTACTTAGTAAGGACTGTCTGTAGTTGTCATTAAAATCCACCTTGTTTCATATCGGGAGCCTAGATGGACTCTCCAAAGTTGGATCTCCATCGCCCAGTTAAGTAGGTGAGGAAGTCTGTATTATCGTCTGGAACGAGAGGCAAGTAGCAACCATCTAGAAAGCCCTCCGATTAGCATGGTCTCACCCTTGTTTAAAATCAAGTCAAGCTAATCTTTCAGTCACTCTACTTCCATAATAATTTGCCTTTTAGGCTTCAAGGGCCATTTGATTTCCACCATAGTTCTCTGTTCTACAGGACTAGGTCCCTTTCCTTTCGGTTATAATTATTACCAATTTAGGGCCATGCAAATGCCCTGGTTACCACGTAATGAGCCTTGTATGTTTACTTTGGGAGAAAAATTATGTGTAGGAGATGTTGAGGGGTAGAAGAAAGGCACAGAAAACTGGAACTATTTTAGGTGGCAAATTGTAAAGCAAAAAAAGAAAAAGAAGAAAGTATACCTTATTTTGTATCCGATGTACACCTGGGAGAGTTTTCTAATATGCTGCCAAAGTCTTTGTAGTATCCCCCAGGTCTTCTCTGGAGTGTTTACCCCATTTGTGATAGACTATTAATCACTTAGTGCAACGAAGCCCTGAAGTGTGTTGGAGAGAGCGTGTGCGAGAAAATACAAAGCCATAGATCTTGATTGACTTCACTGACCTGTGTAACTTGATGTCTGGGTTTTGCCATCCGAGATAGATTGTTTTATAGCGAGTGTCACCAAAGACTTTTTCCTTCC